ACCAGTCTGTATATTGCCCTACCACTCACCATCTTTAACATACCAGTCACACTCTTCACCCTAGCACTTACTCACTTTACCTTAAACACTCACTGACTTTGCCCTACCACTTATTCTACTCTACCACTCACTGTTTTTATCCTAAAACTCACCCTCTTTACCCTTCTACTTACCATCTTTACCCAAACACTCACTGACTTCAAGAAGGTTATATAACTGCAACAGTTTTAACAAGTCTACAACAACTAATGTCCAGTGAGGGTGAACTTTTATGCCCAGTCCGCAATAAATTAGGCATTTAGTTGATTAGCAAGTAAACTCTACAGGGACAGGGATAGTTGGGAATAATCCAAGAAATTGTGTGTTGGCAGGAGCAGCGAGAGCGCGGCGGCGCGCGTGCTGGCGCCGCGCTACGACTTCATACCGCACAACCACATCACACTCTTCATTACCAACCTGTCAGTACTGAATATTATAATTATCTATATCTATGCTAATGTTATAAAGAGGAAAAAATTGTATTTTTAAATTTTTGTATGTATTGAAAAAACTCAAAAACTACTGGGACAATTTTATTATTCTTACCCCGGTAATAAGCTATGTTATCAGTGAGTAACTTAGCTGTATTTTTAAATTTCACGTAGACGAAGCCGCGAGATACAGTTAGTCTATAGTAATATTATAAAGATGAAGGATTTGTATTTTTGTATGAATTGAAAAAACTCAAAAACTACTGGGACCATTCTAAAGATACACTGTTAATAAGCTACGTAATCAGTAACTAGGCTACTTTTTTATTTTCAATTTCACGCGGATAAAGTCGCGAGCAATCGTTAGTAATAAAACTTAAATTTCATCCGATCAGTGCGTATCAAAGATTTCAATTTAGTTCATTCCACTTTTCTTATAAAGGACGGGAAGAGAAAGTGGATTTAATAGTAGACGCATGAGAAGGGGACATATTGTTTCCTTCTCACTCGTTTGTCACCTTATATGAATAATAAAGATGATCTACAGATCAGTTTATAATTCTAATGCAGATTAGGCAACTGGTTCACAGATTAGTTGCCAATTAGTTGTTGAGCCTAAGCTCAAATGGTGAGCTAATCTTTTGAACCATTTCAAAACTAATTTGCACATGCCTAATTATCCTTAATTACTCACTGATAACATAGCTTTTTAATGGTAAAAGAATTTTTTAAATCCACCCAGTAGTTTTTGAGTTATTTATTGAAACAACTTAAAAACTACTGGGAAAAAATCTATTGAAATACAAAAATACATATCCTCTTTATAATAGTATAGTCATAACTTTACTAGTGTATAAAATATGCTTATTTAGTTTTTTTTTTTTAATTCAGTAATATATCTTGTTTGTGTTCCCAGCGGCGGCAGCTCACCCTCGTACGTGTACCGATTACTATCAGAGCTCTACGACCCCAGCGACTACCAGCTCTAGCAAATACACAATATTGTCTAAAATTGAATAAATATTACAATTTATTTAATTATGATTTTTATTTCCTAACCTTACATTTTGACAAGCAAAAAAATTGACTTGTTCCTATCTTCATTATACCTTAAATTTTAAATGAATATTAATAGGACATTTTACTAAAAAAATACATTTAATTTAATTTAACAGTGGTAGAGCCCGCTTTGACATCTTCGCACGAATGGGTCGACTTACCTGGTGTAATACCACGACCACACAAGACAGGCGTCAAGTGGAAGCAATTCCGCGTTTCGTCTAATGAGTGGTGCCGGAGTCCTAATTTTAGTCCCTTTCCCTTTCCACCCTTTTTTTAAGAAGAAAGAATGGGAAGGAAAATGGGATTTGACGGTGGAAGAGACGCTTAGGAAGGGTAAGTGTCCTCTTTATGTGCATCTCCTTCTCCGTCAATTACGGGTAGGCGACGCATCTGCAATTGTAGATATTTATGGGCAGCGGTCGCTTTCCATTTCGGTGGATTTAGGAGGCTGCTTGCTCGTTTGCCACCTCGTATTATAAAAAAAATGTTCAGAACAATCTAGAAACAGTTAATGTACAAATATTCGTTGATAAACAATCTCATTACTGCAAC